GTTGGACTGAGCCCAGCAAGCTATTGGCAAAATAATATTTCTTCATGTCATACAGTGTTTCCTAGAAGCAAAACTTTTTAACACTGTATTTCAGTGAGTGGACTGGTAACATCTTACATAGTTTTACACAAGATGTTTTATGGGTGAGATAAATGTGTATTTTAAAGTCCCCAAGTAATTTGGGACTATTTTTATAGCTTGAGTTTTATTATATATTTACAAAATTCTCTTAACATGAAAGGTGTTATGCAAGAACTAACCTTATTAATGCAAGCTTTCCTTTAATTCATCTGTGACAAAAGCAGTAGTGATGAAACAGTATTTAGCACTGATTATAATTTCATCATTTATATAGTTCATATGAAACACACTTTATCATGAGACATAGGAAAGTACCTTTCTGAAAAGCTAATTTGTTAAGAGTTGCACCCATCAAACTTCCGCGTCTACCTTTTGCGTAGATATACTCAGTATCCATTCACCTTACAACTGCTGGGTTTCCCCCACTCTGTATATCTCTCATTTTGCCACCTCCAAACATCGCTCTTTGTTCAAGTTTTCCAAATGTGCATTAGCTCTGTCAGTGATAAAAGGTCTTACCTACATGGTAAATATGCTACATATCATTAGTGTGAGCGTAAATTAACCATGTATCTACTGTCTGTTTGGAAGTATACGGCACAAAAATATTGTGAATTCTTAGTGAAAGTGCAAAAGCTTCAATGCTTTCTGAATAATTTGCTTACAGCATGTAGTCCATGCAGTCACAATATCCTCACAGGATGAGTTCAGTACTTCTTGAAAGCATCAGGCATGCTTTCTTGATTGTACTCCCATGTTCATGTGCTTTACATAGCTCTACAGTTGCTTGAAGAGCCATGGTACAGCATATAATAACCCTAACCCCACAGCTGGCTCTCATGCAGTGCTGTAATAGCTAGGAGACCATCATGTAAATCCTTGCAGTGGTTTGACAGAAGTATTTCTTTAACAATTCATTGTGGTACTCATAACAGATGGCTTATAATTTATTTCATTTATGATTTTTAATGCACTATTATGTTTCTTTGTTTCTAGTTCTTTATTTTTTACTGTACCATTTGCAGTCTTTAACAAATTTAAATTGAAAATGCCTCAGAACAAAACTTATGAATATACATGTGATGCATAGCAATATGGGTCTCTCGGAGTCTCTTGAATCTGTACAGTTTGCGTAATAGGTAACAAAACCAGAGTGTTTTCATGCAGGAAATAAAAACAAACTGGAAGTAAAATAAACCTAATGTCCACATTAGGTTAAATATTCAAAATTATATCAGAAGAGGACAAATACTTGTGTGAATTAATCTTAAAATTAAAAGAATCAACTAGATTTAGAGGAGTAAGAATGTGGGTAACTTGTGGTAACTGTTGTGTAACAGCTTCTAGGGATGTTTTCCATTCATTATTCTTTGCAAGATGCTTTCAGTTTAGTAGGTAAACATTATCCTTTCTACTTAACAGAATTTAGAGAGGTTAAACGTCAGCTTGCCTAAGATCACTAAGAAACTCAGTGGCAGAGACCAGATCGCTCAACATCTTGCCTAGCATTTTGCCTACACATTCTATTTTACAAAAGAAATTGTACAGGGAAGAAGTATCTTTGAGAAGCTAAAACCTACCAAATATGTCAGAAAGATACATCTGTCTAAAACTGTGTGAATTTATCTCATTTACTTTAATCTCACGCTGTATTTTTCTGGGTATCTGATTGCAGCCCTTCTATAATAAGCACCACCTTGAACTTGTGATCTTAGAAAGTGAACATATGAACCTAGAAAGAGTAAAAGATGTTCCCCAGCCTCTCTGTGTGAAGTACCTAAAGCAAGACTTTCAGAAAAAAATGTGTTTGAATTAAGAGTCTTCTAACTTGCAGCAGTGATTGTTTAACAGTGAATGGGATAAACAGGAAAACGCAGGAAAAGTTGAATTTTAGATCAGGGGTCTTTACTCAGAGGCAAAACACAATACAGTTTCTTTAACTTTCAATTTTTCTCATTATAAATAGAATAAATCTTATCACCTAATATTGCTTATAAAACACGCCAGTTATATATTCTTGCTTTCACCAGCAAAACCATTATGAGATAGTGTTTCATGAAGGTGGAATACCCCTCAATTTTTTTAAGAGAAAACCCATTGGATCCAGTATGGCTTTTGCCACTTCTCATTATAGTCTTCTCTTTAGTAAGATGCAAGGAAGTCTGGGTTTCTTATGATATCGTGTTCCAAGGTTCAGAGACCTTTTAATACTGCAATACTTTAGTTGTCATGTGTCTTACAATCCAAACTATAAGAAGATTTCACTGTCCAGATGAGATAAGTTAATAAAATGTCACTAACAATGAATTTGTCAACATCTATTTTAAGCAAGTGGCAATAGTAAGGGTCACTTCAGTACACTGAAGTCTTCCATCTAGCCATGATGGCCAAGATTAGCCAACACCAGTACCCAAGCCTTGCAAGGATGTTACACAAAGCAAAAGGATAAATTTACCTCATATTCAGTTTTCATTGAAACTGCCAACATGAAACCCAATAATGTGTTTTCTGTTTTTTATGGATGTGCAACTGTGATTTTTATTCTAGAAACAAAGTCTCATCTTCTTTCTCGTGATCCAGCAAATAAAAATAGTTACATAATGAGTGTTTGTTTTCACTTCTCATTGCATGGGAATAAGCAATGCAAAATGTAAAGTTCTATATCCCATTATAAATATGAAACTCACAGCCATCAGTCAGCCTCTCCTATTGTGTGTGTCTAAAAAGCTAGCATCCGTTTCTGCTATCATCACTTTTATACTGCTGTTCCCACATTTTGCCCTATTGGTTTGTTTTGTGGTTTTGTTTTGGGGGGGGTTGTTTTGTTTATTTATTTTGCTCTTCAGTTTCACCTGACTCAGCCTAAACCAACCTAGGAATAAATGTAACTAAAATGGGAATAGGAGCCATATTTCAGGGGAATAAGTCCAATTCACATTATCTGTTGCTCTGAAGTATACTGGCTGCAATTTTCAAGCAACTGCAAGAAATATGTGAAGTAAGCTTTTATTGTTGTTGTCTAATCCATTTCCTTTTTGGTCTGAAAACCCTGAAAGAGAACACTGATATAAATTTTATAAATAGCAGTTCCTTTGCCACATATACTCACACTGCTCTCAAATACTAGGAAAACATTCTTGTGAACTTACCAGGTGGGGATCTAAAAGAATTAAGACTGCTTAAAAGACTAAGCAATGCCTATGCTTCAGCTTGCTGTCAGCTAGCGTGTTTAATGCATAGAAAAATAGCTAGCACCATTAGCTGAGTGTAAGTCCTAGTTGCAATATAAAAAATAGATGAACAGCCTCTGTCATCACCTCAGCATGGTGCTTAATGGCTGCTTAAAGGTACCATGTAATCTTTTGGATGGCTTAATAGTTCTTTTCTTCACAGTTCAAAAGAGAAAAGCAGTTATTAACCCTGGTGTTCTCACAACATTTTCGGAGTAGAACTTCACTGAATAAAAAGTGCCATTTAGATTACTAAGGATAGGATCTAAGGTTTATACAACACTTGCTGTTGGAAAGGTAAACAGAAAGGAGTGTGCTGACCCTTACAATCTTTAAAGATTATGTTTGAGTATGAAATTCCTCAATCTTGAAAAAGCTGAAATCTCAAATCTCAAACTATTTACTGCTAAAAAAAAGCAAATAAAAGTGGACAGTGTTGCTGACAACATATTTGTCCTTCCAGTCTTTGTTTCATTTCACTATAATTATTCATTGTAATTACTTTTGAAAGATCTGATTTTCTAAACAGATCTTTGTTTTTAATTAGCAGGGGCATAAGGAGAAGTAACATTGGGAATTGGGTATAAGATTTCTTGAATATGTCACTTGCCCCAGTGGCTAGTAACTGAAGGTAGTCACCATCTGATGTTCATTGGTCTGTGTAAAATGAAGTGGTAATCTGAGTCCCTTAGGATTTGGAGAGTGCTTACAACACAGAAGGCAGTAATTAACATCAATCCTGACAGTCTCTACAACTACACCAAGCACTGAAGAAGGACAAAAACTAAATTTACCTTCTTATCTTTAAAGATTTTTTTCCTTCATGTCAGAGTTCAGTTAGACTGGAGGAGCAGCCAAAGGAAATTTGTTTTATCAGGTGCCCACACTATGCTGGTTGTTTGCAACAAAGCAAACGTCAGTTTCTAGAGCCAGCAAATCAAGCGGTGCTTACAAACATAATCCCTTCCAAATAAAATTGAGATCTGACTTAGATAATGCCAACAGATAGCAAATCCATACTTTTAAAGGTATGATAACACGCTTTAGGCACTGACAAAAGTAGAAGTGAAGCAAAAGGCTTCATAATAATAATTCTGTGCTGCCTTTCTTTGTCACACCTTTAGCTGTTTTAGAACTATAGCCTCAGTGAAATTTGCCTGTGCATGTGTGCACACCACAAAACTCACACAAGTGGAGATGGCTGTCAAGGGCACTCACAGATCTTTCCTTAACTTTTTAATTTCTGGTTGCCTGAACATCTTCTAATGAGAGTAAACTCTTTTGTAATCAATATAAGCAGATGATAACAGATTCGCTTTGGGGGAAAACCACTACATTACTGCAAGAAAAGTCACTCACTGGCCATGAGCAGTCTTGGCAAGGTTACCATGTGGTGGATAAATGGATTTGATGGCATGCTTTATCATGCAGGTTTTATGGACCAGATATGCCACTTATTGGTAGAGAACAAGAATCAACCTACTGTGTAAAATTATCAATGAATTTATTGAACCTGTCAGAGATAATGAATTTCACAGAAGTTTAGTTTGCCAAAACAGAAAGTAATTGAAGCTTAATCTGCAAAACAAGGATACAGTTTGTTTAAAGTTTGCCCTGTATTTGCTAAGTTTACAGAAAGTAGAAGTAGATACACTGTCTGTTATTGACATAGTATATTTCTCATTCCAGGTTCTATCCTTAGGGGCTGATGTTCTACCAGAATATAAACTCCAGACTCCTCGCATGAACAAGTTTACTATATTGCACTATAGTCCTTTCAAAGCCGTCTGGGACTGGCTCATTCTGTTGCTGGTAATATACACCGCCATATTCACCCCTTACTCTGCTGCCTTCCTTCTGAATGATAGTGAGGAACGGAAGAGGAGAGAGTGTGGATATTCTTGCAGCCCACTGAATGTTGTAGACTTAATTGTGGATATTATGTTTATCATTGACATTCTAATAAACTTCAGAACAACATATGTGAACCAGAATGAAGAAGTGGTAAGTGACCCAGCAAAAATAGCAATTCACTACTTCAAAGGCTGGTTCCTAATTGACATGGTTGCTGCAATACCTTTTGACCTGCTGATTTTTGGCTCTGGCTCTGAAGAGGTAAGTTTAAATGAATAAGAAATCTTAAATCTTAAATTTTGACTTTATTATCATAATCTGTATATATCCTGATATATTTTTTGCTTGTCAATTAATAGGCTGTTTAGTAGTTCTGCCCCATCTTTTGAAGTTAAACTAAAATTAAACCTTCCTTAATAATGTAGAATATTAGCTTTCAATGACAGGAAAACAAGTTCAATGATTCAGTTAGTATTTTTCAGTTACACCACATTTGACACTGTCTTTAGAAAGACTGAAATAAATATATCATGTATGAAGGATTTGTTCAAATGCTTTTATTTAAGAACTGCTCCTTGTATTTGCTGCTTGCTCTTTAAAAACTGTGCATTATGCATATAAGTGTTGTGTTGGCATTAATGCATTAAAATAATTTTTCTTTCTTCGAAATCTTTAGGTCAGATGCTTACTCAGTGCAAAACAGAGGACTTGTAGTGTAAACTATACCAGTTAACAAAAAGATATGTCTGTTGTCTATTTTATCAAGAATATGGACTACCAAAAGAAAGAAAAAAGATTATATGGGGTTAACCTTGCCAGACATGACAGATGTCCTCACCCTTTCTGTACGACAGGTTAAAAAAGTATTCATGTATACATCCAAAAATTGCCCAGAGATGTATAAAGCATACACTATGTTCTGGATGCCTGACCCAGTTCTGCCTCCTTCCAAAGAATTTTATTTAATTTACGAAGGGCTAAAGTTATAATATATTTTTTGATGAAAAGTGAACTGACAAGTAGAGAATTGGGGGGTTTTGTGATGCACACAATACAGCAGTTTAAAAAAAAAGAAGAAAGCAGCAAACCAAGCAAAATATGAACCATTCACTTTTCAAAGGACACGAATCCATTTCTTAAAATAATGTTTTGCACATATTGACAAAAGGAAAAGACAGTTTTGTTGGCCTTATGTGCACCTCATTAATTGAGAAGAGAAAGGTGAAAATTACAAATTAATCAGCAGTTGCTGATTTAGCATGAAAATTTGCTGATCTAATTGTAAGCCTCCATGTCACAATACAGAGAATGTAAAAATGTTTTCATTTTAAAATTAATTCTTTTTTATTGAAGTAATTGTCTGTGACAGCAAATATTTTTGTGTCCATCCCAAAAGCCTGATCTGAATTTTGAGAATACTCTAGCTACCCTCACAGATTACATTTAAACTTCATTAAGTATGCCTTTACAGGTCAGTATAAAACCAGTGGCACATACCTACATGCACCTTGAGAGTCTTGTGAGCATGTTTAGCCTTAAAAATTTCAGAAGTAGGATGAACATCAGTCATGCTTTTCTTAAACCCGTTTTCTTAAGTTTTATATAATGAGAATGTTTTCCTGTCTCCGGTACTTCTGAAGAATCTTTGTAATAATGTGGTCTAATTTGGCAATCATAGAAATCAATAGTAACATTCCTAATGAATACACAAGGTCAATGAGGAATGTGGAGAAACATGTAGGTTATAGAATGCAGTAGAAATAAACTTTGTTGAGGAAATGCAATAAGAAGAGAGACAGTAACATAAAGGACAAAGGAAACCTGTTAATAGTCTCCCAAAAGAGAACTTTTCTACTCAGAAGGTGACTAAAAAGCTCAGAGATTCAAGGGAGATTTGATCAGCTTTTGAATTCATTATCTGCAGTGTGTCTCAGCCTTTCTGCAGATTTTTTTCTGTGGTTTTGATACCACAGATACACAAAGGACAAACATTTTGACATGGCACTGCTTCTAACTTGGGCAACATCATTCCCTTTCAGGTGTGGTCTGCATCCCTTTCTGATCACTGAGCACTCATCACTGCCAAAAAATACGTTCAGTGACTGGAAGGGTGGAACATCAAGAATTACAACAGGGACCAATTCCAAAGTTCATTGAAGGAATGCTCTTTGGATTTGACCCTTAACATCATTCTTCCACACCTCCCCTTGCTACAGATGTTCTTAAGAGTAGAGTACCAGGTGTTAAAGTGATGCTAAAGGGATAACTTTAACGTAAGATAATTTTACAGATTAGTAGTAAACAAGTACATTCTGGCACATGAGTGCACAAATACAGGAACGTGAAACTTGTAACAGAAATTATTGGACCATGAAATTACTTTTTCAGTATTGCAGATGCAAGTAAATTAATTCTTTATTCCCTCAAAACAAAAAGCATTTGAACAGTTTCACTATCTGGAAAAATTAGTTTGTTTACCAAAGCAGCAATGAAACCATACAGATTATGACCAGTTCACTGTGTCATCATGACTTGTCCCTCTCATTCAGGGTGTTGAATATGTCAATCACTTTTTCTAAACTGCTAGTTACCACAGTTTTGTTTCCTATATTACTAACTGTAGTATTTCCCTTATGATCTCTTTTTGATAATTTAGCAAGAAGAAGAAAGCATAAAACTATTAGAATGGAGCATTTTTCATTTCATAGAATTTTTTCAGTCATAGCTTTATCTTCTTTATGAAATAGGTGGGTTTTTTTGTTATCTGGAAATTCTTCAGTAAGATCCCCTACGAACAACTGTACTGAATAGTCTTTTTATTAAACCACATAAGCTCCAAACAGAGCTCCATGAGTGCTCACCCAGCTTGATACCAAACTGAGTCTGGAAAGGGCAGGAGATAATAATCCAAATACCACATGCAGCCCTATCTGAATGCTTCTATTTCAGCCAAACTTTATCAACCATAGGAAAACAACAGAGTAAGACATTTAACTTTTCAGTTTCTAAAATAAGGAATTAATATAATTTTTTTTTTTTTTTTTTTTAAATCCTGTTTAAGCAGTCTCAACACAAAGTTATCATGGCTGGTAGTAAACCTTTCTCTTTTTGTGTGTGTGTATTGTAAGTGTTTGGTGACATCCCTGATACTTGGGATGGACTTTTTACTTTCTGTTCTTTTGGTGGTTTATTTTTAATGGTTCTGCTCAGCCAAGGAGCTTAGATTGGATTTTAAACAAATAATTGTTGCAGTGGCTCAGATCCTTTAAGCACACACTTAGATGAGATGCATGTACAAGTGGAATGCTGCTGAAGATTACTAGATATTTTTAGATATGTGTATTTAAAATAATGTGCTTTTTAATGTATTGATCAGCTTTTCACTTCAAAGACAGGTACACTGAAGGAAAAAATCAGATGGATATATAGATAACCAGAGTTTCTTGCCTTTCATCTAGAACCTACTGCAATAAAACATACAAATAAGTGATAGTAACAGCTTCAGCAAGAAAAATTTCATATTTATAGATTTATTAAATTGAAGCCAGAGAGAACACTGTGTTGAAATATGCTGAAAAGCATATTCTTTTTTCTGTTTTTACAAATAATAATGATCAGAGCTATTTTACAGAGCTAAAAAGCCTATCAAGAGAAATGCTGCCTTAGAAAATAAAAATAAATACATCATGATGTATGTATCCAGCATACTCACAAAATTTAAAAGTATGACTTCTATTCATAGGAATAAATCAAGAAAATAGATGGGATTTGGTTAAAATAAAGACCTATAAATCAAAGTACTCCTCTTAGTTGTGACATCTTCACTTCACTCCATTACACAGTGCCTCTGTTAAAGCAAACCGAAAGAACCCCGCTTTTCTAGAATTGGAAATTGAGCCTCATAGTCCTGACTGCATCTCCACTGATAGAATCAGTCCACTACCCCCTTCCAAGTTAAAATATATTTGAAAATCAAGCTCAGAAAACATCTCAGGAACAGATTAATATAGTTTCCTGTGCTCAATTTAGCAATTCACTGGATGATACAGCATTAGGGTAGAGTCTCTGGAAATTATTTTGATGGCTGGCTAATATCAGAAAAGTGTTTAGTATCAACTTTTTCTTCCCTTAACTGTTCCTCAAGACGAAGCAAAGAGGAACACCACCACAGCTTGAGCAGGCAGTTATTTGTAGACCATTTTGGAAGTCCTTCATCAATAGCAGTTGAAGTACCAGTACTCTGCTGTAAATAAGAAGTTTGGGTTAGTAGTAATATTTTTGTTTAATTGCTATGTGTACTAACAGTTTCAGTATCACAATCCATACATCATAAAGATCTTCAACAAAGACACAGTGCTCAGAAGAGGCCGTTAAGGTAATGGAGCATAGACCAAAAGTCCAAATTCTGGCATGTATTAGACATTTTTCCAAGAGAGAGAAAAGAGTTATCTATGGTTGATGCTATAGTGCTCATATTTAATAGATTTATTTACAAGCTGTAAAAAATGTAGTTGGTTGATGATGGTTTTAACATAAAATACAGGCAATAGGAAATTATTGAGAAACTGAGGACCTTACAATACCAAGAAACTGGATACAAAATATTGTGTGAGCAAGTGAACATTAATGCACATTGGAAGAGACAGTTTGAGCTACACATACAGATCAGTGGGTTATTTGGTCTAAAAAAGAGACAAATACGAGATGACACTATAGATTTATACATTAATGAAAATGGATGTCATGAAGAAAGAAATTTAAAAACAAAATCTAAAGTAAACCTAAGGGTTTGGCCATCAGTGAGTAAGTTATGAGTCATAAATGGCTTTTTGCTCAGGCAGAATAACATTTATGCAGATAATCAATTAGGTGATACCAGCTTCTTCTCCCAGTCTGAAAAAATAATAATTTCTGAAATCAGATAGACTGATACCCTCGTCTTACAAATCATGATGTAATCAATTGCTGTACATCAAAATAGGCACCTGGTGTGGTCATCTCAGTATCAGGGCTTGAGAAATTGAGGGTATAAACTAATCTCACTATTAAAAAAGAAGTCTAATCATGGTTTAAACCCAGATGGTAACTCAGAACCATGCAGCCACTCGCTCACTCCCCCTCTTCTTCCTCTCCCTACTCCTGGAGGGATGGGGAGAAGAATCAAAAGAACGTAACTCCCACAGGTCGAGATAAGAACAGTTCAGTAACTAAGGTATAATACAAAACCACTACTGCTACCACCAATAATAATAATGATCAGGGAAATAACAAGGGGAGAGAATACAATTGCTCACCACCTGCCAACCGATACCCAGCCCAACCCAAGCAGCGATCTGGGCCTTCTGGGTAACTCCCCCCAGTTTATATACTGGGCATGACGTGCTGTGGTATGGAATTCCCTTTTGGCTACTTTGGGTCAGGAGTCCCGGCTTCCTGTGCTCCTCCTCACTGGCAGAGCATGAGAGACTGAAAAGTCCTTGATTAGGGTAAGCATTACACAGCAACAACTAAAACGTCGGTGTGTTATCAGCGTTGTTCTCAGGCTAAAGTCGAAAACACAGCACTGCACCAGCTATTAAGAAGAAGAAAACTGACTGCTACAGCTGAACCCAGGACAGTTACTTAGAAAATGTAGTTTCCACGAACTCCCATTTTTAGAAAGTCATTTCTTTCCATGGTAGAGAACATAATTGACAAACTTTAACCTTTCTCAAACTTCCAATTAACAGAACTGAATAATTATTCCAAAACAATAACTTCTCAGCTTGCAGTCCTGAGAGATATGGGTCAGGCGAAGAATAAAGTCAAGACCTTGAATTTTAGGAGAGCAAACTTCCAGCTCTTGAAGAAGTCATTAGGAACCCTTGGGAAACTACCCTCAGGGACAAGGGAGCACAACAGAACTGGGAGATCTTTAAGCTCTCAATCCCCAGGTGTAAGAAATCAGGAAAGGAAAACAAGAGACTGGCATGGATCGGTTGAGACCTGCTAGTCAAACTAAAGGGCCCTACAAAAAAAACCCAATACGCTTTCTAATCTGGGACTCCCTCCTGTACTATAGCTAGAAAAGAATCAAAAGGTGTTGAATGAACGATTTGCAACTAGACAAACTCAAACACAAAAAGGAAGCATACAGAGGGTATAGGAAGAAAGGTCAGGCGACCTGGGCAGAATACAGAGAAATTGCCCAAGCAGCCAGGGATTTGGTTAAGAAAGCTAAAGCCCTGATAGAACTAAATATGCCTAGGGACATCAAAGGCAACAAGAAAAGCTTCTATCTCTACGTCAGTGATGAAAGTAAGACTTAGGGAAAATGCAGGCCACCCCTGGACGGAAACGGGTGACCTGGTTACCTGGGGCATGGAGAAGGCTGAGGTACTCAAGGACTTTTTTGCCTCGATCTTCCCTGGCAAGAGCTCCAGCCACACCTCACAAGCCACAGAAGGCAAGGACAGGGACTGGGGGAATGAAGAACTGCCCACTACAGGAGATGATCAGGTTTGAGAACATCTAAGGAACCTGAAGGTGCACAAGGCCATGGTACCTCATGAGATGCACCCGCAGGTTCTGAGAGAATTGACGGATGAAGTGACTAAGCCACTCTCCATCATATTTGAGAAGCTGTGGCAGTCCAGTGAAGTTCCCTCTAACTGGAAAAGGGGGAAATATAACACTTATTTTTAAAAAGGGAAAAAAGGAAGACTCAGGGAACTACATGCTGGTCAGTCTCACCATGGTGCCTGGCAAGATCATGGAGCACATCCTCCTGGAAACTATGCTAAGTCACATGGGAAATAAGGAATTGATTGGTAACAACCAACATGGCTTCACTAAGGGCAAATCATGACTGACAAGTTTGGTGGCCTTCTATGATGGGCTTACAGCATTGGTAGATAAAGGAAGAGTAACTGATGCCATCTACCTGGATTTGTGCAAGGCATTTGACAGAATGAGTTGAGAGCAGTCCTGAGAAGGACTTTGGAGTGCTGGCTGACAAGTAGCTCAACACGGCAATGTGTGCTTGCCACCCAGAAAGCCAAACTTATTCTGGGACCCATCAAAAGATTTGTGACCAGCAGGTCAAGGGAGGTGATTCTCCTCCTCTACTCTGCTCTCATGAGACCCCACCTAGAGTACTGTGTTCAGCTCTGGGGCCCCCAGTATAAGAACAACATGGACATGTTGCAGCAAATCTAGATGAGGGCCATGAAGATGATCTTAAAGGGGACATAAAAGAAAGCTGGAGAGGAGCTTTTTAGAAAGGCAGTGATATGACAAGTGATATGACAAGTGGGAATGGCTTTAAACTGAAAGGGTAGATTCAGAGTAGATATTAGGAAATTCTTTACTACAAGGATGGTGAGGCACTGAACAGATTGCCCAGAGAGGCTGTGGATGCCCCATCCCTGGAAGTGTTCAAGGCCAGGTTGGATGGGACTTTGAGCAACCTGGTCTTGTGAAATGTATGCACCTCTACTGCCAGCTGTATTTTAGTGTCAAAGCCTCCCCACTGTGTTAAAGAAAGTTCAAACTCAGGATGAGTTTCTTGATGCTTTAAAGCATACCTACTCTCAGTTATATTGATTTCACCATGAAGACATGGACTCTGCTTGTATTATACACCTCCCGCATACTCCAGAGCTCAAACTGATACAGTATCTAAGCATGGGATTGACACTGAGGTTGCATAATATCAGCAAGTCTTACCTTAAGAATGGGGTGGTACAGTGTTGACATATTTGGATTCACAGTCTACCTTCTCATCTATTTAAGGGGCACTGTAAGAATATGTTACCACTTGCGTAGTGTGGAGAAATTACTACATTTGTGATAGAATGATTCCAACACCCCACAAAGAAAAAAATGCTAGGATTTCTTACAACTGTTTTCTTTCTTAAGGGATCATAAATATTTAAGCTTGATCTAGCTTGCAAAAAGGAAAACCCATACCTAATGGCAATATTCACATCCTGAAGCTCAGCCTAGGCATAGAGTTTTCAAGGATATGGTCTTTCACACTGTTGAGGTCACAATCAATGAAACAGCCTTCTTTATGTGGCAATGAGAAACTCATACTGAAATAACTCTCTGTGATTTAAGTTGTACCAAGGAGTTTTACCCAGTGTTATCCTACATTATCTTCCTGCTCATTTACTCAGAAAATATGAACAATATATTGAGCCGTTCACTGACTAATGCAATCAAGAAAACCTCTTTTTTGTTCCAAAGGCTTTTGGTTTTCACTCAGAAACATGGTAAAAGCAAGGATCTAAAAAACCATAAAAACTAGTCTAGTACTCACTGAAAGAAAGCTTTAAAATGACACATACTACCATCAGAGTGGTTTGTAAGGCTTGAAAATTTTTCCAGTTAAGTGTTAAGTAACATACATGCATATTAAAAAAAGGAAAAAAAAAAATACCATACTGAAAACTTTTTCAATCTTGACATTTACTGAATACTTTAACATATGTTCAGATTTAATGGTGGAAAAAAGGTGGTCAAGTTCTTTCTGAAATCAGGTAGTTACTATTTACAATGTTTCCTGTCTCTTTTACAAGGAATTAACAATTACAAAAATGAATCACAATGAAAATTGTAAATTTACATTAACAAACTTGAAAAAGATCAGGGCCTCAAAGAGGCTGCAGTGAATCATGGTGAGGTCTGCACTAAAAAGCTTGTAATGCCTCCCTGGTTTATAACTGACCCATAGTTTTTTAATATTTTTATCATTGGCTTCTACCGCTACACCTGCAAGCTTCAGGATGAAAGATGCAAAAAACAAGTTAATCTGGAGTCTGGCAACAGTAACTTTTCCATGATTTTCAGTTCACTGTGGTTCATCTTCTTTTACCTGTACAGAGTGTTTGGACCATTACAAACAGGAAGAATATTTGCAGAATAAGATACTTTTTGAGACATTTCTGCCACATTGGTTCTCTCTTTTATGACATTTGTGCCAGAGCATTGCAAGGAGTCTGTAAGTTAGGATCAAATATGGTCCTACAATCATAGAACGCTTAGGGTTGGAAAGGACCTTAAGATCATCTAGTTCCAACCCCCCTGCCATGGGCAGGGATGCCTCACACTAGACCATGTCACCCAAGGCTCTGTCCAACCTGGCCTAGAACACTGCCAGGGATGGAGCATTTACCACCTCACATATATCTGTTGAAGCATCATAAATACTTCTTACCTACAAGGCCAGTCATATGATTATGAGTAGTTCCAATAACTTAAGACTTCATCATGCCAAAACATCATGAATCTAATGGATTGTTTAAGTCCATTAGAGTGGGTTGAAGAGTCCAGCTGAAGTATAATATTGAAAATGAGAGAGTATTGAGCAGATGATGACAGCTTCAAAGTATCTTAATTTAAAATATGTATTTCTCATTTTCTTCACTGTTTTTATACTGAAATTGATAGTTTAAAGAAAATTAAATTAAGATTACATTTAAATGGGTTAATCTACTGGTTTTGTTGATTCCCCAAAATAGTTTATTCATGCTGACTACTAATGAGAGTACATTTGCTAACAGAGAAAATCAATTTCTATTTTATTTTTACAGACAACAACATTAATAGGTCTTCTGAAGACAGCTAGACTACTGCGTTTGGTGAGGGTAGCACGGAAATTGGACAGATATTCAGAATACGGTGCTGCAGTTCTGATGCTCCTTATGTGCATATTTGCACTAATTGCACACTGGCTTGCTTGCATTTGGTATGCCATTGGAAATGTAGAAAGACCTTACTTGGCTCACAAGATTGGCTGGTTGGATTCTTTAGGAGAACAATTAGGAAAACATTACAATAAGAGTGATGCAAGCTCTGGACCATCCATCAAGGACAAATATGTTACAGCACTTTATTTTACCTTCAGCAGTCTGACAAGTGTAGGATTTGGAAATGTGTCTCCAAACACCAACTCAGAGAAAATCTTTTCCATCTGTGTCATGTTGATTGGCTGTAAGTAGTTTTATTTTGTTAATTTTTATCTTTTTTTTCTCAGTGTTTGAGCAGATGACTTAACAGTCTAATAGGATTATAAAACCGCAGCCGGAAGGGCAAATTCCCAGGGAAAGCCATGTTATATGCAAAAATATGTTGTGACTCATGCAGTGTCAGGAAGTAGTCAAGTTGCTTGACTACTCAAAATCTGTTACCCAAACTGTCAGAAGTTTTGTGTTGTGTATCTGTCTGTAAGCAAATCCTATAGAGGGTAGGAAGCAGAGTCTTGAGTAGATTTAGGAAACTATAACTGAACAGTTTTTGGATAATCAAATTATAGTTTATTTGTCGATTTAAACTCTGATCCTATAAATGTATGTTTAGCTTCTTAACCCTGCTTGTTGTTCTTAATATGTACTTAATCTTAGTTCCTAGTTCTTAGTTCTACTGAAGTCCATAAAATTAGATTAACCTAATTTACAACATTAAATTCAGGACTACAAATCTCCAAAGAGAAATATTACCATCTTGATTACTATTTAATATTTAAGCCTCATCTACTGAGTTAGTACTAATACAATCAAATCAATAAAAAGTTTCAGGTAAATCAATTCCACATCTTAGAAAATGTTAATAGTCTCATCTGAGCTGTTTTACATACAAAGAACATTATAAGAACTGTTGCATCATCTGCAAAACCCAATGATAACACTTAAGTAAATTTTGTTTCTATTTAATCCAGCACTAATGTATGCTAGCATTTTTGGAAATGTATCTGCAATAATCCAAAGACTCTACTCGGGAACTGCACGGTACCACATGCAGATGCTGCGAGTAAAGGAGTTTATACGCTTTCATCAAATTCCCAACCCTCTGCGGCAGCGACTTGAGGAATACTTCCAGCATGCATGGACATACACCAATGGCATTGACATGAACATGGTATGTTGTTCTGTTTTTCAGGCACAGATGCTGAGGAATAGATAAATGCATAAGAATTTAGAAAGATAATGCAAATCTTCATTACTTATGAGCTGTAAAAGTACAAGCATAAAAAGGTGGATATTAGCAATTATTGAAAATCAAGACATGACAGGTTTGGCATCCAAACATTTAACTGTCTAGATTATTACAAACTATATCAGAAATCTGAACTCTTACTGTGTGTAGAACAGCTTGAGAACCGCATCTGACTATTATACGCTTAAAACAAGAAAAAAACATTATAGGTTTCTTATTTCAGACATAGCTGTTCCAGAATTTTGCTTGTTCTTTGGCCTTATTTTCCACTTCCAGTATCAAACAAGAGTACCTTTGTTGATATCTACAGAGTTACTGTTCTATAAATCCTGTGCAGATCTTTTTCAAAATACTACTGTGTGACTTAGAACAGGTATATTGGGGATGGGTGGAAGAGAGGAGCAGGCAGGTAGATTAGCTGCCCTTTTCAGATTGAAATATTCTAACCATATGATAGTCTGGACAGTAGTTTGCTTGCATTCATAACCACGTAATTCTGCACTGAAAGTCAACACTACTGCTAACTATTTAGCAATCCACAGAATCTCATTTCTAGGAAGTGGCAAGGTACAACCCTCATATTTTCTGTTCTTGATAAAAAAACCCATAAACACTTCTTATATAAAAATATATTATGTGGCCAGCTAAAAAAGAATAACAATCTGCTAATGAGCAAAAATAAGCATCTCTATTTCTGGATGATTTTCTGACGACAGCAACATTTTTTCTGAAAAGTTGACATCGGTTTGAAGACACTGAGAGCATTGTGCATCTTAAGGATCTGTGAATCTGTGTCTCTAGAGGGATGCTTTCCAGAGCTATTCTGAGTTATAGAGACTGCAGAGCTCTCCATAAAGCTGGCAAGAACAAGAAAATCTATAAGTTTTTGTAACAATCTAACTAGAAATCAACCTCAAAAATTTTGACATAAATTCAGACAGCTTCCATGTGGAATCTATACATATGTTTGTGAATGACTGTCAGAGTGGTACATTTTCATGCAATACGCAGAAACAATGGTCTTGATTAAAAGCTTTTATAAAGCTGAATCACTGACAGCTTGACTGTTAATGGTTACCATTAAGTAAAGCAGATCTTAAAAGTAAGACAGGAAATTAAATATATTTGGCTTCACATCCCACTTCCATGAGTGTCCCCTCCAAAGGGATATTATGCCCAGTGCAAGACAAGGATACTTGCATAAATCTCTTCTGGGGATTACTGCAGTGGAAGGCAGCATCAGTAGCTTCATCCTGTGTGGCACTGAATGGCCCTAATTCCTTCTGATGGCAATGGGATTGTGGGGTACTCAGCACTTTGCAGGATCAGGCCCTTAAGCTGCAGGTGGGTGCAGCCTAAGCCTAAAGTAGATCACTGAATTATTTCTGAAGATATTACAAAATCATGTACGCCTTAACTAATTCATTACCACTAATGGATGTACTAAGAACACCTGTTTCACATGAAATAGTAACTAAAACTTGATGTTGTCAGGTTAAATTTTGCATAATGCAGGAACTGGTGTACTGGAATTAGTCTTGGACTTGTAATAAATGTGAAATACTAACTAAATGGATTAAACAACCCACATTCTGTGATATGATTGTGAGGAAGTACAGAGGCTTTGTTTTTTAAATAAAATGTGAAAAAAATCAAGTTTAGTATCTTGTTATATTTTATTTCTCATTCTGTTCACAATTCTATCCCTCAAATTTTATGGCAGTAGATTAATTTTCTTTAAAAGTGAGCTTGAATATATTACATTTAGTGCAAGGATAATATAAGAATTATGTGATATATGTTGTACTTATGAAAGATTTATCTCTTTCCTGTCTGCTTCATACCTAAATACATGGAATAACACCACCCACTGGTAAGAGCAGGAGGTATTTATATCAAATTTAATTCCAGTGTAAAGTGTGGAGAATATCCATGTTATCTGTCGGGTGTAGAGCTTGTTCAATGCTTTCTGATTCTAACTGTAACTTTTTGCATGATGAAGGGGTAGATAGCAAAGGGAAATAATCCAAGTAGAATCAGATGTGGGGCAAAATAGTCACTAAAAATTAGGCATTAAGAAATGCTAATCTAACCACATTTATTAATCACTGTTTTACCCCACAACTCAAATCATGCTTCTCTGCCCAAAAAAGGTCATGTGCATATTGGTTTGCATTAGATGATAGTTGCTCTGTAGGAATGCCACTCTGACAAAGTTGCCATGCTGATCATTCTGCATTTTCCTTTGCGTGAATGCTTTTACTTCAAACTGTATATGCATGTTAGCACAAGCAGCAATGAAGTTTTCTTGGCTATTAGCCATGTGCATATGAGATGGACTTGCATGTGGTGTTAACTTAATTTTGCATGAAATCTTTGCATCTACACACCAAGGGGCTAATACTGTCCTCAGACAAATGTGTTTGGCTCCTGACAATATTTACGGGGAGTTTTCTCAAGTATCTGAAGGCAGAATTTGATCCAGTGGGTTTTTTTTTCATTTCATGGCTGAAAACCAAATAATAATCAGAAACTCAGTCCTCTTTCTCCTTTGAAATATGAAATGCACAAATAATTTACATTTTGTATGTGTATATATGTACATGCAATGTATACACACACACATATATATGATATTAGATTATACATTTCAAAAGATGCTTTTAATTATCATTAGTAATCTAAGAATTCAGGATAAGTGGGAAAAAATAAAACAAACAAACCAAAAAAAAAAAAAAAAACCAACAAAACCAAACCAAACCAAACCAAACCAAACCAAAACCAACAACTTTGAACCTCGGGAATAATACTGCATTAAGACTAAATAAACTCGATTTCCTAAACTAAGTCCTATACTTTCTATTGAAAACCAGAAGATAATATTTTATGCTTGTTTAAAATGGCTCAACTTCACATTAGCTTTAAAGATCTGCAGGTGAAATATGCTGAGAACATTGTTTATTTGTTCATTTGTTCCACTCTGCTTCATTTCTACATCCCTTTGGTTATGTTTCATTGCATAAAGCATTTTGATAAAAACAGTTCCACATAATTATGCATGGACTGGATAAACAGGATTTGGGATTTATTTTAATCTGGATAAAAATCTTGAGTCTATAGAATAAGCATTATTTAAATCATATCCCTATGGTACACACTGGCAAAGTTAAATTAAAAAACGAAAATATCTATAGGGTATATTGTTTCATGAAAGATCTCACCAGTCCCAAAGATTCAAAGATATTTTTATTTTTTAAACTATCCTGTTCTGTTTTTCCTAAACTCTCTTTGCCTCCTTTCCCCTCTTCATTCCAATGTTATCAGTTCAGCACTGATAATAGCATGACTGTGATGCTTACCCTAAAAAGATTACATTTTTTAGTGTTTGAGATCCTTTTTTAAGTTATGCATGTATTTTTTACAATCTTCCCCCCTTTTTTCCATGGATCTTCTGTGCATCTGGATAGCTTTATTGGTTTATTTTACCTTTAAAAAGAGTTCAAAGAAGTAAATAAGTTGGACAAGCTTTGCAAAGTGTTTAGCCAAATGTACATGTTAATTAAAATTTTGGATGTGGGACACATGCCTTTTTATTTTGGGTTTTACCTAGTGCCATGAAAGGAGAGAGCAAGTCAGAATTTTTATGTATAAATTTATGGAAACTTCTCCTGCAAGCATCCAAGCAAATGGTTGATTTTACACTTGTGTCTTGGTCACAGTAATCATGCAAGTAAAGCAGAGCACACACCTATCTTGAAGCTTCAGAACCAGCAATGCTACTGTGTCAAATAAAGGGCAGGTTCACCATTGCTTTGGTAAGGCTTCTTTTGTGAGAAACTGGCCACTGGTCACTGGAAGATACCGCTACATTTGTTATTCTTGCTTTTCCTCCCACTGTGATCACTTCTTAAGCAAACAGTTCTACTAATAGAACTATTGCCAGTAATATATTTGAATCAGAGAATTAGGAAACTAAATTAAAATTTAAAAAAGAAATAGCAAGAAGAATTTCCTTATACCATCAGAAGGGTACTCGAAATTAGAAGTGTTTGGAACAAAAACCGTAGCAATTGGTTAAACAGAGGGAATATGTAATCCTGGTGGAAAGTGGTACTGCTATTTGTCTATATGTCATAGTGGAAATCCTAAGACATATGACTATCAGAAAGTACTTCAGATATGATTAACTGTAAGGCTGTTCTTTCATTTTCTATTACAAGACCACATGAAAGCCTACATATAAACAATTTACAGAAAAGAAGACCTCATAGAAAATAACCCTAAACTTCCAAGAATGTCAATATATTCGCAAAGTGAGCCATTACCGATTACTCACTGCACTGTATTTTGTGGTCTAACATCTCAAAACCAAGAGCAAATTAACAGTTTTCCAACTGTCATTAAATATTTGGACAGGCATGGATCTGGTATGCTTCCAACTTCTACAGACGTTGAACTTTTCTGTTGATGAGGGAAATAATTTTCTCTCCTCCTCACCCAGCAGTGTATCATATCTCAGAGATCACCTTTCAGATGTAAAAGAAACTGTATTACTCAGAAACTGTAATAATGATGTAGATGTAATATACATCTCAGAAACTGTAATATAGATGAAGAATGATCCACTGCAGCTCCAGTAACTTCAACATAAAAATGTCACAAAAATCAGTATCATGGCAATGACTGAAAGCCAGAGATCCTAATTCTTTGATAAGGTTGTCAGGCTTCAAATGTCATTGAAAGATGAATTAGCTCATCATCACATTCTGCCTCTCTCTCTCAACTGTCGTAAGGACCTCCTTCATAGCCTAAAAAATAAAATAAAAAAATAAATAAATGAAAATCTGACTGCAACATTTTCCTGTATGAAGAGCAGGAATCATCAGAAATAACCCTTTTTCTGAGTGGAGCCCAAGAGCTGC